GACCACTCACTTAATCTCAAAATCTGACCACTCACTAAATCTCACAATCTGATCATTCACTTAATCTCATAATCTGACCACTAAGTCTCATAATCTGACCACTTTGACCACTCACTTAATCTCACAATCTGATCACTCACTTAATCTCATAATCTGACCACTCACTTAATCTCATAATCTGCCCATTCACTTAATCTCACAATCTGATCACTCACTTAATCTCATAATCTGACCACTCACATAATCTCATAATCTGCCCATTCACATAATCTCACAATCTGATCACTCACTTAATCTCACAATCTGACCACTCACTTAATCTCACAATCTGATCACTCACTTAATCTCATAATATGCCGACTCACTTAATACTATAATCTGACCACTCACGGTAGGCGTGTACTTTATGAAGCAATTCGTGTTGAAGTGGAGCGAGGTGAATAAACGCTAGCTGAACTGATCGACTTGTTGACTTATTTCTTCCATTTAGAAAAATCAAGGTCAAGGCCACATTGGTGAACAAATATAAACTTTGACACCAACGCCACACAGACTTTAGGGATTAGGTGTAAATATGATACCCATGATCTTCATGATGTTACAGTAGGCGCACCTACTACACTTTTCATCGTGGACTTCTGAAACTCTCAAAAAGTGTGTGGGGGGGGGGATATTAAATGACGGTTGTTGATTTAGTTATTGACGCAAATGAACGCAGATTAACCAGGATTAACCTTGATATTAATCCTCAATCCAATCTCAAACGTTTGCGGATTTAAAAAAAAAAATAATTGTTTAGCTGCTACTTTTTTTAAATACTAATACCAGTAAAGAGTGCTCAGCATATGACGTCATCAGGATGGTCTCACTTTTAAAACATTGAAATTAGCCATTCTTGCAGACTGGTGTTTTTCTTGACAGTAATAGTGGCATTCCTATAAGACTGGTGTTTTTCTTGACAGAAATAGTGGCATTCCTATAAGACTGGTGTTTTTCTTGACAGTAATAGTGGCATTCCTATAAGACTGGTGTTTTTCTTGACATTAATAGTGGCATTCCTATAAGACTGGTGTTTTTTCTTGACATTAATAGTGGCATTCCTATAAGACTGGTGTTTTTCTTGACAGTAATAGTGGCATTCCTATAAGACTGGTGTTTTTCTTGACAGTAATAGTGGCATTCCTATAAGACTGGTGTTTTTCTTGACAGTAATAGTGGCATTCCTATAAGACTGGTGTTTTTTCTTGACAGTAATAGTGGCATTCCTAAAAGCTTAAGGAAAGACGAAGGGCTTTTCAATTATGGAGACTGCAAGCCTTTACGAAATTTAAAGAAACTGTCATTAGAGACTTTTTATGCGCTCTAAATGCCGGCTCAGAACGGAAGCTGCAACAAGCACACCATCGCTTTGCTAATTAATTGCTAAGGCCTGAGACAACTGATGCCTGAGATAAGTACGACTTCGCCATCATATTAAAAATTTGAGAGAGAAAGAGAGACTGAGAGAGAGACAGAGAAAGAGAGACACAGAGAGAGACAGAGAGAGAGAGAGAGAGAGAGAGAGAGAGAGAGAGAGAGAGAGAGAGAGAGAGAGAGAGAGAGAGAGAGAGAGAGAGAGAGAGAGAGAGAGAGAGAGAGAGAGAGAGAGAGAGA